GCCCTCTCTGGCTCTTCTGCCTGCCGTGCTTGAAGGATTAAATGCTGCCTTCTATCGAGGAAGTCTTCATCCTCTCTGATCAAGCGTAGGGTCGACACTTGGGCCTCCAGTCCTCTAATTTTTTCTTCCAAAATGTCGACCAGCTTGCACTTGGTGCAGATGAAATCCGTTCTTTCTTCCAGGAGGAAGACAAACATGGCACACACTGTGCAGGACAGCAGACCCATCACCAACCATCACTGCTGTCCTGGAAAAGGGATTTAAAAAGAAAGGCAAGAGAACCTCCCGCCCTTCCCTCTCCCCTTCTGAACTCCCTCTCAAAACTCCCTGTTAGCAATCACCTGTTCACAAGCTCCTTGGTCGCTTGCCCAGTGCCTTATAAAGCCCCTCCCCCTACCAAGGCTCTTTCTGTTATTAGTTTGAAGCCTGCTACCCATTCATTTCATTTGGTATCCTCTAGTCCTCCTATTATGGGAACTAATGAAGAACTTTTCTTTATGCACCCTCTCCACACCACTCATGATTTTATAGACCTCTATCATATCCCCCCTCAGTCTCCTCTTTTCCAAACTGAAAAGTCCCGGTCACTTTAGCCTCTCCTCATATGGGATCTGTTCCAAAGCCCTGATCATTTTAGTTGCCCTTTTCGGAACCCTTTCCAAGGCCAAAATATCTTTTCTGGGGTGAGGAGATCACATCTGTACACAGTACTGAAGATGTGGGCGTACCATAGTTTTATACTTTCCCTCCTCCTTCTTCTCCTGGCTTCCCCCTTCCAGCTCCCTCTTCCCAGGTTTCCCCCTCCCCTCTCCCACCCTCTCTCTTCTCCTCTCCCACCTCCTTTTCCCAGTCTCCCCAGAGGTTAATGCTCCGCTCGACCACCAGTTTGGTTAAATAAAGAGAGTTTCTATTTTTGAACACACGTGTCCTTTATTTTTACATCAGGAAGGGGTAAGTGGAAGGAGGTGAGGGAGGAATGGGGTACGAGCCCCCGATGGGGAGGACTGGAGTGGCTCTGCAGGCTCCTCGGGGTGGAAGCTCTCCTGCAGGGTCTCCTGGATCCTGACAGCCCCCCGACTAACCCCCCGGATGGCAGCTTGTGGCAAGTACAGCCAGGCTGATGGCCAAGTGCTGTGATGTGCCAAGTGTGGGCACTCAGGGCACTCCAAGACAGGACTGCTTTGCTGTCCCTCATCGAGGTAGGCAAACAAGCGGGGAACCCTGAGAATTGTCTGTCCAGGGTGGGGGTTGGGTCCCTTTAAGCACAGTCCTCGGCTAGCCTGAGACAGCAGCTCCACGCTCTAAGTCCTAACCTGATGCCCTGGTGGCACTGGTTCCGGCCAGTCTTAACTTCGGTTCAGGGTCCATTCAATGTGGACATGCTAGTTCAAATTAGCAAAACGCTAATTCGAACTAGTTTTTAGGTCTAGATGCACTAGTTCGAATTAGCTTTGTTTGAATTAACTAATTCAAATTAAGTTAGTTCGAATTAGTGCTGTAGTGTAGACATACCCTATGGGATTAAAGCTGTTATAGACCTAACAAGCTAGAATGTGTCAGATTGATCTGCAGTCAATACAACACGTTGGACTCTGTTCTTTTCAAGCATGGTAATAGCATGATAAGGCCATTTCATTGTGATATGAGAGGAATAATGGGGTCAAATTCCGCTCTGCAAACCAATATATAATAAATATAGAATAACTCCCTTTATACAAGGAAGTTACCACAGATTTATCAACTAATGTAACTAACCCCAGAATCTGGCCAACTGTTTCCAGCATCATTTAATTGAGTGAAAGAAGAGTTGTTCACTTTAATAAGACTTGGTTGTTTAGATGGGTTGGCTTTTACACAAAAGTGCCCATAATTTGTGTCATTATTTGACATTGTCTTTGAAGAGGTAATAAGGACTTTAAAGTATTGTGCTCAAAATGGTAGATGTTCGTTTAATTGACATTGCTGACTATTTAGGACAGCAGTAATTATGGTTTTTCTCCTTACAGCTGGCACTAGATAAAGAGCTCATTGACTTTGGCACTCATGTGGTGGGAGAGACAATTTCACGGACCATCATCCTGACAAATCAGGGAGCTCTGGGAACAAGATTCAAACTTCAGACATCAGCGGGTGACAATGGCACACACACAGCAGTGAAATCTTCCCTCGAAAAAATGGTGGGTTCAAGTACATTTTGTCAGGGTGACTTAGACCCTGTTTCTTTTGTTGTGCTTGTATATACACCCATGACTCTGTATACGCCATTCCAGTTCATCTGATGAAATGGGTTTTACCTATGAAAGCTTATGTCCTAATAAATTCTTTAATCTCTAAGGGTACGTCTAAACTACAGGCTTTTGTCGACAGAGGCTTTGTCAACAGATATTGTCGACAAAGCTTCTGTCCACAAAGAGCGTCTAGACTACATCCAGTTCTGTCGACAAAGCAAACCACTTTGTCGACATGAGAGTGTAGATGCAATAACACCTTCTGTCGACAGAATCCTGTCGACAAAAGGCATTATTCCTCGTAGAATTAGTTTTACCGCCGTCGACAGAACTTGGCAGTAGTGTAGACGCAGGTATAGTTTTGCTGACAAAAGTCCACTTTTGTCGACAAAACCCTGTAGTCTAGAAACACCCTAAGGTGCCACAGGACTCTTCGTTGTTTTTGCAGCTACAGACTAACACAGCTACCTCTCTGAGACATCAAAAAAGTGTTACTTGTATTAGGAAAGTGACAATTTACAAATAACATCTGAATTCACAACTCCTTATCTATATCCTCTTTCATAGCTGCTTTCTTTGCTAATTAAAACAAAGTTGTATTTAAAAAAGTGAGTTAACTATGCAAACCAGGAACATCAACAAATATTCTGGCTAGTGCATCAGCAACAGACTTGCCTGGTTTCAATGAGTCTTTATCACTGGGGACAAGTCTTGCTAAAAGACAGCTCAAGATATGCTTGACTCAGATCTGAGGCTGAATTTTCAGCTTTGACAGTTAAAGAAAAGCACACCTGTTTACTTGTGCGTTATAGGAAATTTGTTATGAAATCCTTGAGCAACAATACACAGTGTCAATTTTCCTGAGTCGTTTTTCTGAACAGTCACTCATTGTTCTAGTGAATTGTGCTCACTATATTGGTTCCATTTCCAAGCAGCAATAATTGCATCCTACCTCCAATAAAACTGTAGTATAAAAGTGTGCAGTTTGTATGGGATGCATAATACATTTTCTCCACACACAATATACAATGCAGCTAGATCAGTTTATTTCCTTTAAGAAAAATGGCAGGGGGAAATGGAGCTAGATGCAATAAGTTACATCTTGATATGTTTCATGGTTTAAAATGTTTCCAATAATAAGGTTAATCCAGCTTTAAATGACATCATCTCTGAAGAGAAAGCCAGCAGCAGTCCTGCAGAATCATCCATATCTGAAAACAAGGACCAAGTTTCTCCTGTTCATACTGAAGAAGTTACCCAACATATAAGTCTTCCTGAAAGCCAGAAGACTGAAACCAGCCTGGGCAGCAGCCATGTAGGTGAGATTGTGGTTTTAAAAAAAATGACCCTTTGTCATTTGAGAGGCTAAGCATTCTCCTAGGAGTTTCATTAGTTCATATAGAATATAGGCGCTTAAAATGCTGAGCAGACTTTCTCAATAAATAAAACAATGACTATTCCAGTAGTGATATAGGTTTTTGTTTGTATGATATCCCAGCCTAAAGGCATCCTGGCAAGGCATAAAAAGTGACTAAAATAATGCACAATACAATTGCATATACCAAAAGCCATGGAGACTGGCCCCCCAATAACCTCACTTTCCATCACCTACTAACCTCAGATAGAAATCCAAAATCCAAATGGATTTTCCTACAGAGACTACAAAATTGTTATCATTGTTCTTGTCTCATCAGCTGAACACCCACCTTTCACAAGAGAACCACATGACAAGTTTATTTTTATAACCTATAATTTTAGGAACAACGTGACATACAGATGAACCTCCTCAGACATTTTTCCTCTCATCATTTAATTTTTATTTTTTGCTCTATAAGATTGTGGGGGTAAGAAAGGCTTGCATCCATTAATACAGATATTGAAAAAGTTAAGTGTTCCCCATCATTCTGATCATTTTACTATTCTGATCAAAATATGCTGTTAAAATCATATTGAGCTTTCTCTTTTTTTTTAAATTAAAATGGATTTTGTGTTTTGAATCTAAAACATTCTGTAACATTCTTTAGGTTTTTTTTACAATCATGGTGCTCTCTCTACCACATACAATATCTGCATACTGTCTTTCAGATGAGATCTTAAACATAAAGGTCTTCTCTGTTCTCCATGTGCATTAAAGATCCCATGACATATTGAGCATGGATTTACTGAGTCAGCCAAAATTACCCCTCTTCCCCGCAATTACAATGAAGTATGCAATCACCAGCTGGTTACTGCCCCCACTACAGAAGTAGCTACTTTTCTTTGGTGCAATATGAATATAGGCAGAGGCACTTTCAAGTCCTTCAGGAGGGTACGTGTTATAATCAACCTATAGTATTCATTTTTATATCTGTGCTGATTAAGACCCTGCTTGCAACACGGGTCTTCCTGAAAATATCACACTGATATTCTGCTCTCTGCACTCTCTGTGGATAGAGAGTCCAATTCAAGCTCTCTGTTATTTGGGGGCCTTCATGGTATTGGACCCAGCTCTCTCTGGGAAGATCCTGGGCACCCATCATAGCTGCATTCCACAGTAGTGGGAGGCTCTTCAGTGGGGAAGACAGAGCTTTCACATGACTAGAGCAAACGACTATGAACTCATTCTCACCGGAGCTAAGAACAATGACGGGTCTTGCTGCATTCTGAACATATACAGTACATCTTTAACAATTAAATTGTACCTTCTTCCCTTGTGATCATTCATATCAACAGAGAGAAATTCTCTAGATCCCTCATAAACCCCCTGCTCAAAAGTCTGAGAGGAGATATGGGGTTTGCATTATTTTCCAAAATTCAAGGGACATGGGCTCTGATGTTTTAACTCCCAGTTAGTCACCCATCCTCAACATCTGATTTGTTTTTTAGAACAACATAGTCGAGATACATTAAATGTCGAGGCAGATCTAGAGGCAGAAAAAGCACAAAGCCCATCAGAGCCACCATCTGAAGGACCAGTTGAAATTACACTGGGGAAGGTAATGTATTTACTGCGATATGTACAGGCTTTCAGCTAGTCTAATTCTTGAGCAAGGCCAACTGGCGAATCAAATCCTGCATTCTTTACTCAAGCAAAATTTGCATAGGTTTCAGTTTGAGCTCTGACAAAACCATGAGGTTTCATCATGTGTTATTTTATTTTAGGCATTTTATATGTACAGTAGAGCCTCAGAGTTATGAACTGACTAGTCAACCACCACGGAACTGGAAACATGCAATCAGGCAGCAAAGACGAAAAATGCAAATACTGTACTATCCAGCACAGTACTGTGTTAAACGTAAACTACAGGTTGAACCTCTCCAGTCTGGCACTCTCTGGTCTGGCAACATCTATGGTCCAGCATGATTTTAGATAGCCGGATGCCGACTTTTCATGGGTGTGGCCTAGTTTCCCACAATTCCATAAAGTTTGTTTACAGCCGCCAGCCCTGGCTTTCAATGTTCTGTGCTGTTATTTAGCTCTAATTTACCCCTAAATAAGAGCCCAGTAAAGATCCCATGACAGGAGATAATGCTGCTTGATAATACTGACCTCCTGTAGTCTGGCAAATTCTCTGGTTCGTCACTGGTCAGGTTCCAAGGGTGCTGGACTAAAGAGGTTCAACCTATACTAAAAAAGGGAAAGTTTAAAAAAGATTTGACAAAGTAAGGAAACTTTCTGTGCTTGTTTCATTTAAGTTAAGATGGTTAAAAGCCACATTTTCTACTGCATAGTAAAATTTCAGAGCTATATTAAGTCACTGATCAATTGTAAACTTTTGAAAGAACAATCATAACATTTTGTATGAAGTTACAAACATTTCAGTAATGAACAACCTCCATTCCCGAGATGCTCCCAATTCAGGTTCTACTTGTATTTGTACTGTGTAGGGTGACCTATCTTACATTGGCTTTTTCTGACTAGCACGTACTGGCCAACTGTCAGGAAAGAGAGTATACATATATTTTACCCTTTGTACTCTTTCAGTCTCTGATTCAGTTTCTGTGTCTTCTATGCCTTTTAAAAATGTACAGTGTTTAATGTAAAATTAAACCAAAGCATATTATAATCAGACTGGGGAATTTTCATTGAATTTCTTCCGCTTTCATAGGGTCACCATTATTTAGTGTAAATTACAAATGTTGCCACAACTGCATGGGATGTGGAGTCTCATGTTTTCATTGAAATCAGGCCACAGTTTGTGGCTTTTATTCATTATTATTATTCATTATATTGTACTAGCGCTCAAAATACTTAAGGCCATGTACAGGCTTACCTAGACATAGTGCTGGACGTAAAAACTTTGCAATTTAGAAAGATTGGGGGGCGGGAGGAGGAATAATCAAAACAAAACAAAAAAAATCACCCAGAGAGAGAGGGTCTCTCCCTCTCCCCTTGCCTCCCCTCTCTGACCAGAGAAAATATTTCAGATTAGGGTAGCAGGCTCTTCTCAAAAGCTGATACATCCTATGTGAGATGGGGAAAGACAGGCCAAGGGACCCTTGGCAGGGGCCTCTAAATCCACTCCGAGAGGGGCTGGAAGGCCCTGTCTTATCCCTGCATTCTCAGCAATAGCTGATGTTGACTGTTTTGGAGCAGGATCTCCACATGTCCTGGGGTTTATAAAACCCACCTGTCAAGCATCTATTGGCTTCTGCTTCTCCTCTTGTAGAGGGGAGTATGAAAGGCTAGTGGGAGGAGGAACAGGCTTTTGCTTCACATATCACTTATGTGCCAGCCTAGAGATGATGGAAGGAGGCTAGAATAACCAGAGGAAATGGCAAAACACATAACCAAGATATCACACTTAGGGTGCGTCTACCCAGCAGCATTATTTCGGAATAACTGATGTTATTCCAAAACAATATGGTGCACATCTACACAGCAAGCCTTTATTTCAAAATCATGTCAAGCTGGAGAACTTCTTTCTTCTACTAATGGTAACTCTCATTTCATGAGGGGTAAGGGAAGTCGAAGGAAGTGTTTTTCCTTTGACCTCCAGCTGCGTAGACAGTGCAAAGCCAAATTAAGCTATTGCGACTTAAGCTACACAATTGAGATAGCTAAGTTGAGTAGCTTAATTCAACTTTAGCCCAGAGTCTGAGCACCTTCTGGAAATTAAAGAAGTCACTGTCTCAGATGAGGTGCCCAAGTTTTTGAAGAAGCAAGCTCTTTAAGGTACTATTGATACACTTTTCTGCTGAAGCCAGCACAGTGTCTTCTGTCAGACCATGGGCATAACTATGTAACTGTATAGCTCCGTTGACCGTATTTCTATGTACAAAGGCCCAGTAATTCAGTACAGGTACAGGCTCAGATACTGCAACAATGAGCACAGTATAAAATTCTATACAGAATAGAATAATGCAGCCAGATTTTAATGAAAGTTAGTAACACTTTTTTGCTTCACATTTAGGTTACAGAAGGTGAAATTGGACCCTTCAGCTCAGTCAAACTTCAGATTATTTTTACCCCATCCATCCCTGGGGATGTACATGCTGAGTTTGAGATAGCATTTGACAACCCAGACTGCAAACCAGTGAGTGTTTTTAAGTGACATGGTCTGGTCCCACACACTGAAGAGAAGAAAGTTTGACATCCTTCTGTGTGTCACAAAAGCTGAAGGGGCTTGAAGGTGGGATTGAAGCTGTGGGAGAGCTTAGAGAAAAATAAGTGTATAGTCATCCTAAGAAAGGAAAGTGAAACCACTTGGAGGAATGCATAACTGGGACAGGTGACAACTGCCATTAACATTAGAGTGTATTTTAATTCTGTACTTTTATTTCAGGCCAGACACAGCTGAGATGTTGATCTTAGTAGCTTGTCAGAAAATCCACACTTAGCAGGAGGCTCTCTGTCTCAAACCTAGCACTCCTCAAAATCCACAAAGAAGCAGCTCTATCATTTTCTGGACATATTTCTTTGGAAGGAGGGAATGTCCCTTCTAGGCCTGGGCTGAATCCTTTCATGAGGGGTCACTGTGGAAGCAGCTTGCACAGTGCTGACCATGATCTAAAAATCAAAAAGGCGTCTCATAAAAAGTGGAAACTAGGACAAATTACAAAGAATTAATATAAGCAAACAATACAGGTATGCAGGGGCAAGGTTAGAAAAAAAAGCACAAGCTCAAACTAGCTACAGACAAAGGGAAACAAGAAGATTTTCTATAAATATATTAGAAGCAAGAGGAAGACTAAGGACAGAGTAGGCCCATTGCTCGGTGAAGAGGGAGAAACAACAACAGGAAACTTGGAAATGGCAGAGGTGCTTAATGACTTATTTGTTTCAGTCTTCATCAAGAAGTCTGATGAAGGAATGCCTAATATAGTGAATACTAGTGGGATTGGGTAGGTTTAGAAGATAAAATAAAAAAGAACAAGTTAAAAATCACTTAGAAAAATTAGATGTCTGCAAGTCACAAGGGCCTGATGAAAGGCATCCTAGAATATTCAAGAAGTTGATAGCTAGAGGCTCAGATACCACCTCTATCATCCTTGAGAAATCATGGAAGACAAGAAAAATTCCAGAAGACTGGAAATGGTGAAATATAGTGCCCATCTATAAAAAGGGAAATAAGAACAACCCAGACCAGTCAGTTTAACTTCTGTACAAGGGAAGATAATGGAGCAAGTAATTAAGGAATTCATCTGCAAACACCTGGAAGATAATAAGGTGATAACAGCCAAGATGGATTTGTAAAGAACAAATCATGTCAAACCAATCTGATAGCTTTCTTTGATAGGATAACAAGTCTTGTGGATAAGGGAGAATTGGAGTATGTGGTATACCTAGACTTTAGTAAGGCATTTTATATGGTCTTGCATAATCGTCTTATCAATAAACTCGGCCAGTGTTTCTCAAACTGTGCTCCACGGAGCCCCAGGACTCTGTGAGACATATCCAGGGGCTCCATGAGGTTGACAAACTGGAAACATCGACAGGTTCAGCACATACAATCAGTAGACTGCTGGGGTGCCGCATAAATATTTACATATGTAAAGGGCTCCAGAGCCCAAAAAGTTTGAGAACCACAGAACTAGGCAAATACAACCTAGATGGGACTGCTATAAGGTACGTCCATAACTGGCTGAATAACCCTTTTCAGAAAGTAGTTATTAATGGTTCACAATCCTGCTGGAAGGGCATAACAAGTGGGGTTCCACAGCGGTCTGTTTTGGGACCAGTTTGGTTCAATATCTTCATCAACAATTTAAGTACGCTTATTAAGTTTGCAGATGACATGAAGTGGGGAGGGGTTGCAAGTGCTTTGGAGGACAGGGTCATAATTCAAAATGATCTGAACGAACTGGAGAAATGGTCTGAGATAAATAGGATGAAGTTTAATAAGGACAAATGCAAGGAAGGAACAATCCGTTTCACACATACAAAATGGGAAGCGACTGTCTAGGAAGGAGTACTGCAGAAAAGGATCTAGGGGTCATTGTGGACCACAAGCTAAATATGAGTCAACAGTGTGACACTGTTGCAAAAAAAGCAAACATGATTCTGGGCTGCATTAACTGGAGTGTTGTGAACAAGACTTGAAAAGTCATTCTTCTGCTCTACTGATTAGACCTCAGTTGGAGTACCGTGTCCAGTTCTGGGCACCACATTTCAAGAAAGATGCGGAGAAATTGGAGAAGGTCCAGAGAAGAGCAGCAAAAATGATTAAAGGTCTAGAAAACATGAGCTATGAGGCAAGGCTGAAGGAATTGGGCTTATTTAATATGGAAAAAAGATGACCGAGAGGGGACATGATAACGGTTTTCAGATATGTAAAAGGGGGGGAATTGTTCTCCTTGGCACCAAGGTAGGACAAGAAGCAATGGGCTTAAACTGCAAAAAGGGAGGTTTAGGTTGGACATTAGGAAAAAATGTCTTTAATATTAACAACAGGATATATGATTCTGCTGTTGATCAGCATAAACTCTAGTTTCCCTTTATCCTGATTTGTTGTTAGAGATTTTCAATGACCTATATAAAGGAGTAACCATTATTGATTTGTATATTCAAATATATAGCTACACTTTTGTGTCATTGGAGTCTCTGTTGATGTGCCTGTTTGGGTGACCAATCCAAATGTTGATCTAAAAATCTGTATGTACGATCGGCTCTACCAGGATTCTATCATCATTAGAAGCAGGTAAGCTATCCCACAATCCATTACTGATCAGCTTATTATAATAATTAAATAGGGAGATCGTAAGGAATGTCTTGTCTGAGAAAGAAATATAGCAAAGCATCATATTAAAAGGCGGGGAAAGACACTAATATAGTGACAAGTAGTACTTAAATAAATTTGAATAAAACCTCATGTCACCTAATAGGGCCTTCAAAATTTCCTTGGTCCTGCCTTGAGGAGACTGAAAGTCTTTATCAAGTGCCATCTGTGGACTTTTTGGCCATCTCCCTACAGGTAGGCACATAACCACAACCACAAATAGCACTAACTGGTTCCCATACTGGCTGTGTTGGCAGAGAAGCCAAAGACTTTGAATTAGCCAATCATTTAAAGAGTTAGCTCCTTCATTTCAGTATTGAAGCACATTGGTAGGTCAGTGGGGAAAACTTGCGCTGCTGCTGCATGTGCTGTATCTGGATGGAAGACTTCAGTCTCTAAGGCAGACACCTAACATCTTTTGCCTGCACTACATTCACATAAATTTTAGGGAAGGAAGAATGTTAAGTTTATTATTTCATTATGCACAAGTACATTTAGTCAGCCTGGGATACCCTACAAAATGCCTTGTATTTCTCATTGTTATTCTTCCCCAGGCTTTCCCCTGTAGTTAAAATCAATGTCAGAACTAGAAGCCAGCCTAAGGCCAGTTGTGCCTCATAAGAACTATGGAACAGCCACCATGGAGGTCAAGCATACCTTTAAGAGATACTATAATACCTTTATATAGTATAATCAAGCCTGAACTTGCCTATTGGTTTCTAAAAGAGCCAGTTTTATTTCCTTTAACCTCTGCTCCTACAGACCTAAACCCATTGGTGGGGGCAAGAGGGCAACTGCCTCATGGCCTGGGATTCAAAAGGTCTAACGAAACCTGCCCACTACTGTGGTAGCAGTGGTGGCTGGAGCCTTGGGCCCTTTAAATTGCCACTGGAGCTAAAGGCGGTCTGGGGGCCACAGCGTGGTCCAGGTGGCACAGAGCTGGTTACCCCAGCCCTGTTCCTTCTGCTCAAGTCTCCACCCCTTCTGGGAGCATGGAGCTGCTTCAGGGGACTGGGCAATTCTGTCAGCTCCCCTGCCCACTCCTAGTCTGTGAAGTTCTCACTTTATAGTGTTATCTAGATATTTAATTAGTGGAGGTGTTTATAATACAGTACAGTGTTTCTGTCGGTCTTATTTCAACTTGGATATTGTTGGCTTTGGAAGAAAAGGCCTTCATTCTTTGGGTGAAAAGATTCACAACTGCCTTTGTTACTGTTTTTCCCTCCCTCATCTGGCTCTTCCATGCTACTCCTCCTCTGATGTCATCTTGTTAGGATCGTGCTGCTGGAGGGTGGCAAGTAGAACCACCTTGAGATGCAGCCAGAGCCCCTCACCGGAGTCCAGGCCAAAATTTCTACACTTCTATTTTTATCTCTTTCACCTGACCCTGAGTCAGTAGATCCATGCTCTGAGACTCATCACCATGGGCCATTTCCCCACCCCCTTTTTTGCAGTGTAAACATAACCCTTTATTTCCTAGATACTTTGTACACCTAGCACAAGGTCTTGTGGCTAAGGCAGTGGCCTGGAACTTGGGAGACCTGAGCTCTAGTCACAGCTGTGACAGATTTCCAGTGTGATATTAGACAAGTCTTTTTATCGCTTCAGTTTCCCATCTGTAAAATGGGGATAATAAAAATTTCCCCAGCTCACACAAATGTTGTACATTCATTAATGATTGGGAGAAACTCAGATGCTGTGATGCTAAGTGCCATTTAAATACATAGACCAAATCCTTATTTCAAAGGATCCTGGATGTTTGTCCAGGTACTTTTATATACAGTCCTCACCACTAATATCTGAGCCCTGTCCTATGATGTCAGATCATATCACAGTGTAAAGGTAATCCTGCAGATTGTTAGTTTCCTAGAGATCTGTGCAGTGACTCTTACCTTTAGAGAATGATTCTGTGAGCTACTCTGTTAATTGACTTACATGTGATGGTTCCCCCCACTCTATCTAATGCAGTCACTGACTTCGAAATGCTGAGTGTTTCTATTTTAACAATCATCCTATTTTTATTTCTATTTAAATGCATGCCAGTGGGATTTTTTTTTACTATCTCTGCTAGAAGACACATTCTAAACTTCTTACCAGAATTAGACACTACAGAAATTCTTCACAGTTGGAAAGAAATAGTAGAGCTGTTATCTCAGAAATTCAGCTCATAAATGTGACAAACAAGTTATGTAAGAGATTTCCTCGGTCTAAGATAACCCACTCTCAGGGACAAGATTATAAATGCAGAGACAGAATAATTTGTCAGTTAAAAGTGATTAACTCCCCCCAATGCAAATCCCAGGTTTTGAGATGTTCCTGGCTTAGGGAAGCTGTTAAGTATCTTAGGCCAAAATGTAGATAGCCAAAGGGAGCAGTCATGCAAGATGTGGAGGGCCCTCAGACCAGTGCAGCCTGTCTTCAGTATAATGGAGGATGAGGCCCTTTACTTAGCGTCCCAGTTCTAACTGCACTACAAGGTAGACTATCTGTTAAGCATTAGGCTTGAAACCCTAGTACAGACTGAACCGGTCTCATACGGCACCCTTCGGATCTGACAGGTGCTAACCAGAGAATTTGCCAAACCATGAGAGGTTAATATTTTTCTAGTAGTATTACCAATGCTTCCACTACTTACTGGGCTCTTAGAAGACATTTAGGGGTAAATTAACAGCATAGAACACAGAGCTATGACTGGTGCCTGTAAACAAACTTTATGAGACCACAGGAAACTTGGCCACACCCATGGTAAGTGGACTTTCGGCTAACTAAAATCATACCAGACCATGGATATTGCCAGATCAGAGAGTGCTGGACTAGGGAGGTTAAACCTGTACTGACTATTCAGACTCTGGCAATGATGGCTCAGCCTTTCAACATGCCGAAGCAGGCACATTCAGTCCATGTGTGGAGAGCTTTTAGATAAAGCCAGGACTCTTGCCACAATCCATGGCCATTAAAGATTCTGTGCACTTGGTGTTGGTGGAAGGATTTAATCTGGGGTCGATTGCTATGCAGTGCACTTCACACCGCACCACTAAGACAGCAGAATGCACAGAAAACAAGCAGAAAGGATTACTGTTGCTCATCATCAATGTTGCTGATGTGATCGGTTACAGCATTGGAAAAGACCTGGGAACAAAGCAAATGACTACTTAGCAAATGGCTGATTTTTAAGCTTTCATTCATATGCATTAGTCTGTTCCAGATTTCATTCCTCTTTTATTCTCCTGACCACTCAAGAGACTATCTCTGCCTGGCAGAGCTGCAGGCATTCAGACTCAGGGAATTGCTGGACTTTGACCATGAGTTAATATTAATACTGGTTTAGATTTGTTCAGTCTCACCCATCCCGGATTACTTTTGCTGAACCATGGGTAGGCCCACATTTTAGCAAGGCTGTCCCTTCACCTCTGAATGAGTTCCATCTAGAACAGAGTCCATGTGTCTCTAGAGCCTTTGGTTCAGGAAGGAAAGAAAATGTGAGATAGGTACACTATAGCCTGCTTTTATTCTGCGACACTTTGGCTTTGAATCTGGGTCAACTCAAATATAGAAACCTAGATTGGGAAACACTGTAGCCCGACAGAGAACACAACATTGTGATTTTGCATTAACAATTCTATGTACCCAGTGTATCTTCCTTCACTTGCAAAGGAAGCTTGAAATAACTCTAAGTGCCATGTGCAAAACTGAGCTGCAATGGGAAAAAGAGCTAGAGCAGTAAGTAAAACATCAGCACAAACCCACTCAGGTCTGTCCAATCTGTTTGCAGAGCAAAAGCTGCTCTACGCTTGAAGTTTGAAGTATGCAAAGAACTGAGCAACCACATGGAGCTTCTTCCGAAAACAGGTTACATTCAAGCCCTGTCAACCTTCAGTGTGCAGCTGAAGTTCCTTCCCAGGTAAATGAATGGTATTACTCACCTCTCTGTTTAGCATTGAAGATATTAGAGTGCCTATCTGTGAAAAGTGATAGAAATGTAGCCGTGTTAGTCTGGGGTAGTTGAAGCAAAATGCAGGACAATGTAGCACTTTAAAGACTAACAAGATGGTTTATTAGATGATGAGCTTTCGTGGGCCAGACCCACTTCCTCAGATCAAATAGTGCTTCAACTATCTGTGAAAAGTCAGAGCAGGCCACATTTTCTCTGACACCCACAAACTGCTATGGCTGTAGTTCACACTACTGATTTCAGTGCGATTGCATTGCTGTACTGAACATAGAAGTTAAATTACTCCAGATATATCAGAGATACTGAGAGTAGAATCAGACTTTGAGGTCCGATTTTCATTGGTGCTGATCTGAATTTTCCACTAATTTTATCTGGAATTGAGATAAAAATTCTACTCTGGTTGCTTTCAGTAAAGTCAGATTTTCACCCATGTGTATTCAGCCTCTCCAAAAATTAGACCCTCTGCTCTAAAATGAAAATCTAAAGTCAGATGCCAAAGCTTTTAACAGCATAAATTTTCAAAGAAAATATAAATGTTACAATTCTTCCTACATATTAAATTTTATCTCATTACAACAGTTATAATTATGACAACAGTTTCTAGTTCCTAACATCAGATTGTATAAAATCCCCTTTACTGTCCAATCATGGTGTTTTTAAAGTCAAGCATTTAATAAATAACAGAAAGAAAGAACTGAAGATTATTTGTTTCTGTAAGAAGTGAATTTTGATGGGAAAGGACAATAAGAGGAATTATTTAGTGTGCTCCATGGATATTAAACTAGCAATAAAGTGTAAGAAAATTTAGGCTGACTGACCTCAAGTTCTGTTAGATTGTGCACTAGTCTCCCCACAATAGTGGTGAAAGCCCATTGCTTGGGACTTTTAAGACTAGATTGGACAGAAAACTAGAGCATATATGGTAGGGAACAATGCTTTATTTGTGACGGTACTGCATGGAACGGCGTACCGTCACCTATTTTCCCAGCATACAGAAAAGGAATGGAATTTCCCCCATGTATACCCTGGCACCTGTTTTCCTGGGGCGGCTTGTCTCTTGCTAGAAGCCTGCTCAGGACGCAAGGCGTTTTTTTTTCTGGCTCCCAGCACAGTGTTTCGGCTCTTAAAGGTTTGCATCTGGCGTACCGGCACTTTTTTTCTTACCAAAAAAAAAAAAAGCACTTATTGGAAGCAATCCTGAATTAGCAAGGGCAAGGTGATGAGGGAAAGGGGCAAACCATGGAAGGAAGACGAATGAACAACACTATCTTTAAAGAGCAGATATGCAACTGTAAATGGCATTGGCCTAGATATTTCTTTGTGTGAAAGAAACATCCTTTTGCCTCACTGTTCTTCACTCAATGGTGTTTGTGGACGGAACCTATCTAGAGAGCTGGTAACAGAAATAATATCACTGTGGAGACTTAGGAATGGGAAACTATTCCCTCCAATGCTGTATGGTCCAGGTATTATAAATAGGCACATAGATCTAAAAATAATAGAGGTTTTGTACTGACTTGGCTTGAAAGCTCTGAAATTGGACTGTACGAGAGTGAGAAGTTTCAGCAACTGAAGCCCACACATGCCCTGTTAAGGACAAATCTGCTATGTAATCAGACAAACGCTGTTGGTTTTCATGTTTGTTTCACTTCTGCAGCCTGTCTTTATTTATGTCTTTCCCTTGTATTGTGATCTCATTGATACTGACTCAGAGGGACTGGCAATTAATTAACATCAATGTCAACAGGAACAGATTGCCTATGTTGGTTTGCTCATGTACACCTAACTGTGGCCAGAATGCAGGAAGCTTCAATACTGATTACAAAGCAAGTTTTAATTCCTATTTATAGCTATAAAGGTTTTGCTAGAAAAAATAAAAAGACAGTATTGGTAATACTTTACTAAAATGCCTGCAAAGACAACCCTGGCGCATAATCAGCTCCTTTAGTAATACAGGCAAAACACACATATGTGTCTAATTATCCCATAAGCATTAGTAAGAATTTCATGCATCTATCGGACTAGACCTTTTTCATGTCCAGCTTTTTAATTCCAGCATGACACTTAAATAGAAATAAAATAGCAGGAATTAGCCTGGAACATTTATGCTGTTCACTTGTTGAAATAAATTGCAACAGTCCTATTCCAGCAGAACGTTTATTCCTACATCCAGGCACCTTAGAAGTTTAGAGAATTTATGATTTGTAACCAAACTTGGTAGCTATGGCCCATGTCTGATTGAAAGATTTGTCATTCAGCTTGTCCTAACTTTACCTGCATTTCCTCGCTAAATGCAAACTACAGGTAGTAGCCATGCAGAAAGACCACTGAAGCACTAAATATTTTCGGTAGTGTGTCCCATGTTTCAAACAGACATTAGCCATGTCATTATGGCCATTTCAACAGTTTGAAACATTTAACAAAAATCAATTTTATGACAACAATATTGAATTAATTGGAAGCTACTGAGTGTTCATTACTTTTAACAAACAAGACTCTCAAATGCCTAAATATGAACTTAAAGCTGGCAGTTTCAAAGAGGCCTCAGGAAATTAAGCAGATGGGGATGGCATTTTCAAAAGCACCTGATGTTCCTTACAGGATCAAGTCCCATTGATTAATAATGTCCATAAGCTCCTAAACTGAGATTTTAAAAAGGAGCTTGTCTTTGGAAAATTGGGCCTTAGTATGTCAGATCTATTAATATGAATACCACATTGCTTATTATCCTAATAAAAGCTGATGTATAGCTTGGACAGCACCTATCTGTGTAGTGAGGGATGATCTTCCTGTAGAAAATCTATGACAAGTCTGCTCTACCTTTGACATGACTGCATTTTGTCTCTTGGGCACAGGTAGATTCTCCTAGACTATCGTATGTTTGGTTGGAAACTCCCTCCTTGCTCTTTCCCAGTATTTGCATATTCAAATTCATACAAAGACTTTACTTTAAGTCCCAATCCAGTGAAGCATTTAAGCATCTGATTAACTTTAGGCACCCAAGTAGTCTATTTAAATTCAAGTGCTTTGCTGGATTAGAATATGGATGAATATACCTTTTGGATCTTAACTAAACTCAGTTGTCTTAGACTTATACTTGATTCAGAATATAGGCACCGAAGACCCAGTTGTTTCTCCTTAGCTAGAGACCAGTTTGGTTGTCCTTAAATAAATGCACTTTTCTATTTCAGGCACTCTCTCCCAGAAGATGCAGAAAAATATTTTGACACAGAAACCAGGGTTCTGGAAGTTCCAATGACAATAACAGTTGCTGATAAGGTAAGTGCTATTGTGTGTTTCAAGTACTAGAAGATTTAAATTTTAACCTAGAATTGTGAAGTGTGTGGGGAAAAAAGTCACACTAATTCAGAGCTGCTTCAGGGCCAGATTCTGATACCCTGGGTCAGTGAGTGGTAGTTACTCAATGAGCCATCCCTTTGAAATCAAATCAGTAAGACAAGAGATAAAGAACTCACCCTGTGATTAAATTAATTTAAAAATTCTCAGAATGGTATAATAGATAGTGAGTTGTGTAAGATCATTTTCTATCAAGCATCTACAAAATACAAACCCTAGACTTTTAATTCTTAAAGTGTTCTCTTATTCACTGAAGTATTCTTTGGTTGCAGATAGCACACAGTTTTATTCAGAAAATATAAAACAGTGTACATGCATTTTAGGGTTCATGTTTCATACAGATACACATGTGACTACGTTCCAAAATATCTAGTGATTCTTTTGTTAGTTTTAGTTAAAGAATTGGCAAGTTTCCGTTGCTTGCTGATAAGAACCATGATAAACTGAAGTTCAAAATAAGAATATTACTTACATTAATTCCTGTTGAGGAACAGAACATATCTTAATACAAAGAATCTTTCTGGAAATCTTTTCATTTAAATCATATACCCAGTTCTTGCCCAGCACTCCAGCTGTAGTTCTTACATAGTACTTCCAATCTTGTTTCAGACTAAGCCAGTTGAATTTATTGTCCATGCAATTGTTACTACTTCTGATTTGGAAATCAGTCCAGCTGAAGTGAATTTTGGTTACTGTACTATCTGTGAAGCTGTTCAGACAACCATCACTCTAACAAATAAATCCATCCTGCCACAAGAGTTTGGATTTGTTGGACTCCCTGAGGTACATGGTTTCCCCTTCTTTCTTCTGTTTTAAATATATTAAATATATTTTATTCATGTGAAATGGTGCAACTGAGTGCAAACGAAACTTGTGACTTATATGGATCTTTTGACAAAGTACTGACCTAGGGATAGAGAGGAAGCAGTAGCCATGCTATACCTTGATTTTAATAAGACTTTTGACACAATGGAGCTCCTGGTTATCATGTCTCAGTGATTCCAGATCACATTTGCTCAGTTTACAAGTGACAATGTTTTTCTCATTTCCAGCTCTGCAAACAGCCTGGGTTCAGAGAGTCTGACTGGGTCCTTTCTGGTTCATGCGTTATCAGTATTAAAAATTCTCCAGGACAAATTCTGGCCTCATTTATACCTACTCAACTCAGTTTCCTCTGCAACCTGGCTCAATGCCAATAGGACTGTGCAGATCTCAATGAGGGTATAATTTGCCCTACAAAATTTTTAAAACCAAAGTGATGGTGATGTTGAAGCAGGAGTGTACCCCATCTGACACTAAGCTTCAGGTGAATGCCAGCATCATAAAATGAAAGCAAGCCCTACATCTTTTAAAAACTTGTTAGCCATACAAATCCAAGATGGGGCACACAAAAGACATAGAACCCCTGCAATGCCCATGCCATCAGGTCTTGTCTTCAGAGCAGAAAATCCACTTCAGATATTGAATTCTGTAGGACTGTTATGGCTGACTTGACAGACCCAGCTGCTGGTACTGCTGATCAAGCTAACATGTATGCTGCAGGCACGCAACAAATCAATCCCTGATTAGCAAGAAAGGTGTTTAACGTAACAAGAATGAGGAGAATTTTAATTCTTAATGATCATTTAAGCTATAGGAAACACTGGAGTTCATTGGGTCCTTTGGGCTAAGACTTTTGGGGCCTTCATGGAAATCCATTTTTCAAGCATGAGGTCAAACTAAGGTGCCTAGAGAATGAAACCTCCAGGGCACAGCAGGAGGGACTGAAATCTCATTAAATCCTAGGAAGAACCTGGCAACTGCTTTGCCAGACTTTTCAGAGAGTTGAAACCAAAAAGGCTTCTGACATGAGATGTCAGGACCAGTTGCAGTTACACGGGAGCTTCATTTCTCAAATATACAGCTGGGAGTGAAGCATAAGTTGTCATTTATAGCAGAAATACTGAAGATCTCAGACTCCTTGGGATCCTGACTCACATAGCACTGCTTATTCATTTTTAAAAGGATTCATGCAGGGGAAATTGGCATGTAATCTATTTTAATGGCTCACACAAACTATACAGGCCACTCACAAGTAGCCATTGTCTTAGCAGTCTAAAGAAATCTTCCTTCCTTGATCAAACAAGTATACTCCTGGAAGAAATCTCGAGAGCTATACACATCTATGTAGATAATATATGGGGCTTTGTCATCTGAGCATCTCATGAGCATTAATGGATTTATCCTCCCAACTTCCTAGTGAGGTAGCTGATAGCTTTCTGTCATCTCATTCATTGTGCATGAGGAGGATAGCTACATAAAAACAAGATGGTTATTATGGACAATAGGTGAACAGAAAGCTTGAAGATAAGTCCTTTCTCAAATGTCAACTCCTTTAAAATGTGAGGTTCCTTAGGTGCCTTGACTCTGTTCATAGTTACACAAGATTTCTTTTTGCCATTTTGAAGTTTGTAGAAATTCAACCGAGTGATGGATTTGGAATGCTCCTTCCCCTGGAAAGCCTGAAACTGGACATTATCTTCAAAGCCAACAAGGCAAAGGAATACAGTTTTGAGCTGACCTGCAAGTCAGAGATAAATAGGTATGCTAAGAATCTGGAAACACAAATGAGTAAAGTTTAGAAGTGTTACTCTGAATCAGTGGTGGAGTTCAAGAGGCAAAATCAGAGTCAGATAATTAAGTCCCTATAAATTTGGGAGTCTAAGCTGTACATTGGCAGAGGCAGGAGCTTTGCATTGTACAAGAGGTGAGTAGTGCCTGCCAGCCAGGCTCAAGTCTTTACTGAGTTTGTTGCTTTTTTGCCATCTTTCCTCCTACCCCATCTAAGTTTATCTGTATCATTTCTCCAGATATAAATGTGCCTCTAATTTTCTTTACCTGCAACTTCCTCCTCATCCTTTTTTCTTGGTGGAATTATTGAAGCAGTACATAATCTGTGTATATATTTCTTCTGAAGATGCTCATCATCTGTGCCAGGGGATGGTGCTGTAACAGTGAAGATATAAGGCAGAGACTTTCAGACTGAGTCTCATTGCATTTCTATTCAAAGATTCACATAGAAATAATTCAGGTAGAGCCTCTCTGTGGAGTTGCATATTTTAGAGCAGATATCATATCTGCCTCATCCTGCCATCCTTAGGCAAGATTTCCCTTGCAATCAGTAGAAACCCTGCTTGAATAAGAACTGCAGAATCAGGTCCCCAGGCTTCTGGACTGTTTAAGATGCTCTGTTTGTACTGAGACAATTTATGGTGTGTTTATTTTTAGACAATTCAAGCTGTCATGCAAAGCAGTTGGAGTCCACCCACCTCTTGAGTTGTCTCATTCCTTAGTCAAGTTTGCAGCAACAGCTTTAAATGATGTATCTACAGCAACACTGTATGTGGTAAATTCACATGTGAGCCTCAACCGCTTTACTCATGCTGTCCCAAGGATCGGCAATGGGGAAACTGCCCCTGTTGGACCAACTTCCTTTGAATTCCTCGTGCCAGAAGAGTCTCCGGTGACAATTATGCCTTCTGTTGGAACAGTTTTGCCGGGGAAGGTAAATTCATTCTGAATAAGTCACGTATTTGAATGCAAGAGATACAATCCTATGATCATCTCTATCCTTACAAATGTAGTGCCTTGTAATTAAAGTCCCAGAATATACTGTACCATTCCTATAAAAGTAATTAATATATGTACTCTGAGCTTTAAAGAATACTTTTAATGGAAATCTAGAGCTCAATCCTACAAACAAGTACGCATGTGAGTAATTTTACTCATGGGCATATCTGCATCAATGTTATAGCATGATTTATTTAGCCAAAAGGCATGTCAATGTAGGAAATTTGGTAGTAATCTAAACTTGTTGCAGCATTGTGGACTTTAAAAACATTACTACAATTAGCCTTTTTCTTTAATTCATTCAGTTCCTTCACGAAAAGGGGCCAAGATATCCAGGGTCAAAAAGTTGCTGTCAAACTCATGTTCTCAGCTTCTGTTCATCTTGTGGGAGTTACAAATTATCCAAGTTCTGCCACTGATGTAAATTTGCAGCTCAGTATCATTCATTGTGTGCAATCTCTTCCCCCAGAAATGCTTGATACAAGTATACTTCAGACCAGTGTTGTCAGAGCAGCTAATCAGAGAAGAGGCCGTTCAGATGCTGTGCAGGGCTGATACACAAAGGACGATGTTGAAGAAGATTCGTGAATCAGACATGCAAGTAAGAACAGTTGAAAATCAATGTGCTCTGTTACTCAGCCAACTCTCAAAGGAAAATCAAGCTCATTTCTATAGCATTACTTTTTAACATAAAATAATTCACTATTAAAATACAGTAAATGAAGCCCAGTCTCAAAAAACCAAAGATTAGCAGTACAAAGTGGCAGTTAATGCCATCAGCAGACAGGATAAATAATAAATAAATGGTAACATTTTCAAAAGCACCTGAGCATTTTAGGGGCTCCTAAATGCCTAGATGGGACTTCTGAAAATGGGACTTGCACCTGAGTGACTTAGGCACTTTTGAAAATAGGGTCAGACACCCAGCTAATGTAAATGGATAGAATTACGTTAAAAAGAGCTGCATTTCTTTATTCCAGAAGAGAATTTGCCCTCTGAGGCTGAGAGAAATGGTTCTACACTTGAATTGCCTGATTTTACTGGCTGTGGCTGTGCTTTATCCATTGATTATTGCCAATATTCATCACCTCTTTTTATATATTTAGATTGGGAGCTCTATGTGGCAGAGACTGTTTATTTGCTGTATGTTTGCATCAATATCTCATACAGTGGAACCATGATCCCTGACTGGAACATTTCCACAGAATAATTTATAATAATTTGTAGCCACCTATGGGATTTTAATAGGAATTGAATGTCCAAATTATTTAGGCAGCTTTGAAAAAGCTTAGTCTTAATGTGTTGCATGCTTATTATATAAACATAAAATACACTGTATTTATAGAAGAGAAAAGACGAAACCCTGTCAGGGAAGAAAGATGGAAAGAAATCAAGTTTTGCCATTTTCAGACAGCCTTCGAGGGTCAGAGGCAGTAAACATGGAGCTAACAGTGCTTTTGAGCCACCAAAACCAGAAGAAATAAAAACCAAGTAAGTCAGAAGCAACAGTTTCTACTGGGCAGCAAACAAATGTCATTTCCATACTGGTTTCATTAATCTATTAATCCTTGTGTATGAGCAAGTCATTTAACTTTAGGGGAGAACTAGCCTTTTTCCTTATTCCAAAGGTTATTTCCAAAATTAGCAGTGCTTCTAATCTACACTGTCATAGCCTCTCCTTCAAGGCAGAGAATCTCGCATTATAGATCAAACAGAGGAGCTGCAGGCTTGAAAGAATGTACCATGTAGCATTAAACATGGCTGTACTATAATTCAGTTGAACCAAGCACAATACCGATGTAAAGGGCAATTGGCCTGTTTTTCAGGTAGGTGGCTGTCTTAAGTGATTTAAGCAACAGAAACTGACAATGAAAAATGCACCTCTTCCAAATAAATTAGTTGAATTGGTATTGAGTAAAATTCACCCAGGGCAGCACAAGGCTCACACCAACTGCCACAGACCCACCACCACCTTAATTGGGTAGCTAAATGTGGTGTAGTCTAGAGGACCACCATTAGGAGGGGTTGAAAATTACCCATTGGGGAGTATAATAGTGCTTTAATGGAAAACTTTAAGGTACAGGGTGTCTCTGCTATAAGTCGCCCCAGTATACCTCCGTTCTGCGCTATAGTCATTGGCACTTGTAGGAACTGATGCGTTATAAGAAAAAAAAAAAAAAAAAAAAACAGTTTGTGCAAATGGAAGTCAGCTGTGGGGAAAAAAAATTCCCCGCTTTAAGTTGTTTCACTATAAGTCCAAGTTTTTTGTAACGTATCTTGGACTTATAGCGAGGGTGACCTGTAGTCACTTTGTAGCATGCAATTTATTTATTTAGATTTATACCATCTAAGAAGAAAGTCCAGTGCTTGAGGGCCCAGATCCAAAGTATGTAAGCATGGACTTAACATTAAGTACAGAAGAGTAGCCCAAGTATCCGAATAGTCCCACTGACATCAACAGGACCACTCATATGTTAAAGTTCAGCATATGCTCAAGTGCTTTGAGGAATTGAACCTTTGGGGATTTGGACAAGTATTTAGTACAATTCATTAACTATCAACATTTTTGTATTTTTAATCATGAATCAAATTATTGTACTGTAAGTACACAATCCACTCTAAAGGAAACGCGTATTTGAGAATTCTGAGGCACACTCTATCATGTAATTTGGGAATATTACTGGAATATAAAAGGATGCAGTGAACATGTGGGCAAAATTGATTTTCACTAGAAAAATCCTGCGTGAGAGAATTGCACTCAAAAGTGTTTTGTCTTCTCTAGTGTGACATTAAGTAGCTGGGTTTCTATTTTTTTTTCTCCGTCACATAAGCAGAAAAGCAAAACTACTTGTTCAACACGCTTTGTTGAACAGATCCACTGCTGTGGAACAAATGGACACACAGCTTTACTGCTAAAGTCCACTTTGAAACAATTAACGATTAATAAATAGTAAATGCAAGCAGTAGGCCAGGTCTGCAATTTAACAATCTGCTTGCTGGAATTAATACTACTGTACTATATTACTACTTGATTTTTGCTGTCTTCTTATTAAGACCATATTCTTGGATTCTCTAGTTCTGAAGAATATATTGCAGCTCAGTATTCCCTGATTAGGAATTTCACAGGAAAGTTTGAGCGATACATCATACCTTGCTTTGTTGCAAGTGGAGATATTGATGAAAAGAAAGGATCTGAAAATCTAAAGTACAGGTATGGTATAACCGAGCAGCATAAAACCAGATTGATGCAATTTATGGTGGATAGGGGATATGCTGAAAAAGTATTCATTCATTTTTTGGGAGAAAGGCCAGATTCTGATCTTAATTGCCCCATAAATCAATGGAATAACTCAGATTATACACCAGCACAATGGAGATCAGACTCCAACCTGCTAGTATCAAAGCACCTACGGGAATATGTACTATGTAAAGTATATGTGCCAGATTCAGTCCATCTCTTCTGCCTGAACAGATGCAAGAAAAGCAGCCAAAATTATACATTCTCTAACACTGATATAATGCTTTTACCCTCCCCCCACATAGGGTAAAAGCAGATTTCAGATACCAGATTTTATGATCTAACAGCAAACATTTTTTTTCCATCTCCCCAGTCCTCATAACACCTTGTACTTAGAGTTGCATTGTCCTGCTGTAGCACCATCTGTTGTGGTCACTTCAAATAATGGAAAAAACATCATCAACTTTGGGGAGGTCGCAGTAGGTATGAAGTTTGAATTCAACTTTTGAGTTTTTTCTGTCTGGCTTTAATTCCTTTTAAATGTAGCTTTGTTATGATTTGCTTGGCTTCGCTTGTTTACTTTAACCAAAAGAAGGCTGAGGGGGGACATGATTGCACTTTTTAAATATATTAGAGGGATAAATACCAGGGAGGGAGAGGAATTATTTAAGTTTAATACCAATGTGGACACAAGAACAAATAGATATAAGCTGGCTAGTAGGAAGTTTAGACTTGAGATTAGACGAAAGTTTCTAACCATTAGAGGAGTGAGGTTCTGGAACGGCCTTCCAAGGGAAGTAGTGGGGGCAAAAGATCTATCTGGTTTCAAGGTTAAACTAGATGGGTTTATGAAGGGGATGGTTTGATGAGATAACATGATCTTGGTAACTAATTGACCATTCATTATCAGTGGGAAATAGGTCAATGGAGGGATGATAGGAGTTACTATAGAGAACTTTCTGGGTGTCTGGCTGGTGAGTCTTGCCCACATGCTCAGGGTTTAGCTGATCGCCATATTTGGGGTCAGGAAGGAATTTTCCTCCAGGGTAGATTGGCAGAGGCCCTGGAGGTTTTTCGCCTTCCTCTGTAGCATGGGGTATAGATCACAGCTAGAGGATTCTCTGCATCTTGGGGTCTTCAAAGTATTTGAGGGCTTCAATATCTGAGATATAGGTGAGAGGATTATTCTAGGAGGGGTGGGTGAGATTTTGTGGCCTGCACTGTGCAGGGAGTCAGACTAGATGATCATAATGGTCCCTTCTGACCTTAAAGTCTATGAGTCTTACTCACTGTAGGATCACCTTGAAACATAGGTGTCTAATTTAGGCCACATGTAGGCACACAAATGGGTCCTTCGGAGATCAGAAAACCACTTATAGTACTTAAGAGCCTATTTGATGCCCAGAGATGTAGTCAGCAGCCCTAATGGAGACCACCTGTGTTTGTGCACTTTCACTGTACACCAGCCTCAGAAATGGAGTGAACATTTAGCAGAGGGAGAAGTGAGAGTGAAATGTAGTTCTCATATATACAGTCATGCAAGGAGATCTGATGCAGTGAAACATTACTCAGAAACTACTCTTAACAATTCTTCCTTGAGGTTTTATGGTCTTTTTTAACAACTGCTGTTAAAAACAAGACCACTAAGTAAAATGGGTTGTGATTTGTGAAGGTGCATTTTTCTCTCCTGGATATAATTTCCTCACCAAGTAGAGTTTGGAGAACTCATTGTGGTCCCTGACAGGTCTAGTCTCTGCATGACAGCGTTCTAATATATGGAACCTTCATTGCAACCACACTGGCTGTAAAATATTGATTTACAAATAATCACATGTAGGAAATCCCAGTAAGGTGAAAAAATACAGTAGATGAAGAATGAAAAGTTTCATATCTTGTACATACTTTTAAACCGCCACCTGAGAGGTATCTGACCTTCTCTCTTGAAAGGCTGGGAAGTGTCACGTTTGTTCCTTTCTGTTTTGAAAGGAAGGATCATTCTTTTGCTAACTTCAGAACATTTTGCTAGGTCATTCTTGGAGTTAACATTGGTGGTTTTTATTGCCTGGCCATTTTGTCTCTGGCTGCAGTGCAATGAATATTGAAACACCGTAACTAAAGATGACCATGCGCAGCATTGGAGTTACAGACTGGAATGTCCCATTTAGGGTCTTCCTTCTTATTAGAGAGAGTAGATTATAACATTTCTGAAAAAATGTTGTTTTTATACATTGTAGGTCACAGATTAATCAAACAAATTACAGTACAGAACATCTCCCAGGAGCAGCTAGCAGTATCCTTGACTGAAGAGTTCATTCCCTACAACTCGCTACTCAGTCACTGACCGTGGCCCAGTGTTAACAAGAAGCATTCAACATTTTAAAAGCACCTGTAGTGGAGCCAATGGAGTACCCATGTTTCACAACTCGATAGATTGTAAAATCTACTCCTCAGGGGTGGAAGAAATGAACTTTGGAAGATCCCTTCCAATCTAAACAATTTATAAAATTCTCACTCTGCACTTGGCGACTGGAAAATCTCTATTTAAGAACTGAAATTGAGAGGATTCTCATGCCTCAGTCCTTTCTCAAAGAGAAAAAGCTACTAGCAAAGTCACCAGCACCAGCATGATACACACAAAGCACAGAGAGCCAAAAGCCAAGTCTTTTCCAGAATCTGGGAGAAGTATTGAGCAATCTTCCGTTAGAAAAGGCTTCCAATATTGTCAAATCTAAACAGGGCCAGAAAAATCTGAGAGAACAGCATCTCTCACATGCTAGTTCAATTTGTCTGCTCCCCACCTCAGACAAAACCTAGGGACAGAGCTACAGGAAAGTTATTGCAAGTTTTTCTAACTGAAAACCCATTTCAGACATGAGAGTTTTGGGCAAAGAATGGATTGGTTTTTATTTTCTTTGTTCTAGCTCACTAACCATAAAAAAAAAATCTAATAGACAAGTTGGTTTGAATTATCTTTAAATTCTGCTTTTGTACCCTCAGCTTGTCAGCTATAAACTTGTATTTCCTTGAGTTGCAATATTTCAGCTAGGATTCTCCATCCTAAATCCCAATGGGCCCTTCCTATTGGTCAGTCCAGTTGGTACTGTTGAGCCAGGGGAAAACCAGTTTCTCTTCATTTCTTTTTGTCCAAATGAGAGTAAAGTGGTAAGTAAATATATACGTTCATACATATACATGAAGATATTTTACAAACTGAGACACACATCAATAATAATTATAAGCAATCTGAAGCATTTAAGAATCAATTATATTTGCCCCCAAAATATGCTTTTAAAATAATGTCAGAGCTGGTGCAAAACTAACAAAATAAAGGATGTTCATGCTGAAGGAGTTCTGAGAAAAAATGGACTCATTAGGACCTAATTTTGATATTCATTCCATGGAGAATTACATTCATTTATGCAGTGTCTTTCCTAGCAAAGTATCTCGGAAGGCTTTCCAAACTACACAGACAACCCCTTTGAAATGCAGCCACTTCTGGAGTGGAGAAAGTAGACAGTTAATGGACAGCACAATGCACACCAGTGAAATTTAAAGACACAAGTAGTGGGCTCTCTAGTGTCTGTTGGAAATATGTGTGGCGCTGTAGGAGTCTGTCCCTTTAATAGAACAGTGACAGCATTTTAACACTGTTCTAGTAATGGTCAGTCAGATACATAGTATTCTTTAGTACATTGGTCACAGTGAGATCATTATCCCTAGGAGGGTAAATTATAGAGCCAGGGCTGGACACTCAGAAAGAGCAAGTCTCCAAACTTCTATTTAGCCTCCTTACTACCACTGACTTCCCAGGAAGTTAGGAGCCTAGCACCTTTGAACATCCAGCCCCTCTTCTTGTAAGATTTCTAGACAAGGATAGGGCTAAATTCTGGCTTGCTGTGTAAGTGTCCTCAAATCCAACCACAGCCCCGCCCCTAATCCCAGCACAAGCAGAATGCCAGAGTCAATGGGCATGCCCACAGCAATCCAATGGTCCCCAAGCCCTGAAACTATCCCCTCCATGGATACTTCCACACAGAGACCTGGGATGTGACTGCAAGGAGCTAGGACTGGGGCATTCCCCGTCCATCCCCTCTTCCAGGTGCCTATGCACAGCACTCGTCTGGCATTTAGCCCTGGCTTTGTAGCATACCTTGAAAAACTAAAGCAAGTGCCTGTTACAGGTGACCAGTCTGAACATCCTTCTTTTCAGTTCTTTGAAACTCTGGACATCCGGAGCATAAAAGCCACCTTGACCCTCAGTATTGTTGGCCAAGGAGTGGCACCATCAATTGCTTGTTCTGTGGACGGAGAAGTGCTCAATATGGGATACGTCATAGCCAAAGAGAAGGTCTCTTCCACGTTCAAGGTAAATCCTGGCATCACAGAAAACGCCCTTTTGTCGAGTTGAAAGACCTGATTAGCGGTGGGTCAGAACCGTGTAAGAGAATCGCCCAACAGGAAGTTAAACTGAGCAGTAGGTTGCATCATTAAACATTTTTGTTTTTAAGCCTGAGATGAACTCCCAGGACAAACTGGTAGTTGAGTGTGTTACGGGCAAATGGTACTTCTACTGGTAGACATGCTGAGCTGACTCAGTGTGCTTGTGGGAATTCTGCCTACAGAGGCACTAGGGAGGGATGAGGGTCTTATTGCACCTTAAAAAAGCACCCCTTAAATGCTCTTCTCCCTGGTTTTATCCAGTATGTATACACAAGGATAAGTTCCCCCCAACACCACCGTAATCATCATCAGAGTTACTTGCCCTTCCCTCCCAGTTGCTTTCCTTTGCAGCTTCCTGCATCTGTGGGTTGGGGGATGTACCCTGCTAGAGACTGTCTGCTGTCAGTTTCCACACTGCTAATCCCCAATCTGGTGAACAGGCCAGGAAATAGAAGCAAACTGTCCATCTATAAAATCTTTCACTGTGCAGTTACCACAAAGCATTGATGGGAAGCAGCTCAGGTTCCAAGAGTGAGCTAGATAGATTCCTGGAGGTTAGGTCCATCAATGGCTATTAGCCAGGATGGGTAGGAATAGTGTCCATAGCCTCTGTTGCCCTGGAAGTGGGTGACGGGAGGGGTCACATGAGGATTACCTGTTGTGATCCCTCCCTTTGAGGCACCTGGAATTGGCCACTGTCAGCAGACAGGGTACTGGGCTAGATGGATCTTTGGTCTGACCCTGTATGGCCATTCTTATGTTCTAAGTGGAAAAAGCCCTGTGTTGTCCTAGCAGGGAGCATGCACTATGGATAACAGTAACCCATATGCACCATGTACGGTGCCTGGGCATGCAATAAAAATAACTTCAGCCCATTTCCACAATACACATCTTACAGGGTTTTTAATCAGTTTTGAAAATTAAAATGCTATTGTATCAATGACTCCTTCCAGATACAGAACACTTCCACTCTGCCCCTGCAATACTCCATCAAACTAGCATCACTCTCACTAACAAGGGAACAAGAGCAGCAGAGACTTCCCTTCTTCATCACATCTTCCCCAGGAAGGACAGACTCTGTTGGTAAATCGTTTTTCATCTCACTAATAAAGTGCATAATAGGAGCCAAAATCTGCCCTGTGTTTGATCCAGTCAGCTCTACTAAAGCCTTATGGAGTGGGGGTCAGAAAATTGTCACTAAGGACATAATTTGCTTCACTAATACCAAATGTGGTAACTATTAATTCCTGATTGGTAAACGTTCACATAGCCAAAAAGAAGATTCCCAAGTATGAAGGCTCTATTGTTGAGCTCTGGTTAAATCCACTCAGCATATTACCCATCAAGAAGCAAAATCAATCTAGGTATAATTAATACTAGAAAGTAAAAATGGTTTAATGGTGCTTCTCCAGTTCCTCTGGGAAATGGGTATTTTGAAAAATCTCATATGTGGTTCCAGCTAAGCTAGTACCCAGATTTCCAAGTTTGCTGCATAAACATGCTTCAGGGATTTTACTCCTTTGCCACCGGGACAAAAAGGAAGTGAGAACGGAGCTCTCCATGATCCTCATATTTCTGGTTTTTGCTCTTCCAGGTACACAGAACTACAGTGGTTTAAGTGTGTTCAGTGTATTTCCAGTAGAGGGCGTAATTGAGCCTGGGAAGTATCAGGATTTCACTGTTACCTTCAGTCCGGACCACGAAAGTTTGTATTATTGTGACTGCCTCAAGGTTGTTCTCTTTGGCAAGGTAGGGCAATCTCAGGGTACCCAGATTGTTAATTTGAAGGCTGCCATCGAACTCACGTGGAATTTATCAGCATGGGCACTGGGATTCTACCAGGAATGGAAATATTTGCATTCCGTTATTAATTCACAGTGACAGTAACTTGGAACACAATCCTTTGTTTCCCCACATAAGCCCAATTTACTGCTGGGCAAATTGTGGGGAGGCAGCACATACCCTTGTGAATTGTTGAGCACAACTCACATAGGTTCCCAGTGAGATAATGATCTATTCCTGCGGAGCCCAAGCCCCAAAAGCCCTTCATACACAGAGGCTGCTCTGGCTACTGTGAAGCAGCTCTGTTGTTACTCTGCATGGGGAAGAAGTGGTCCATCTGTGGAGCAGGGGCTGAGCTTAAAGAGAAACTAGAATCAGAGAGCACAGATGGGCAGCATCAGGGGATATTCCCCTGCTTCCAAGGGAGGCTAGCCAATAGTTAGCGAGCGGTGCCACCTAGTGGCTGCTACCAGTACTGCAAGTAAACAGGAGACAACATTTCAGGTAAGTTTGCATTCCCAGTTTCAGGTAGGAATAAAGCCAGAAAACTCAGCCAAAATTAAATGAGCTGTGCATGGTTTCCATGCTCAAAACCATGAAATCAATGTTGAGTACCTGAAACTTGGCCCAGGCTCACGTGTGTCGTGATACCAGGTAAATTTTGCCTGTGTTGGAAGCCTGGTCCATACCAGAACAGGAAGGTCAGCTTAAGGTACACATCTTACCTTAATCCAGGCCTTGGTGATGTCCACACTGTGGGAGGCTGATGGCAACACACGCTCCTAGTGGCTTCCCTTACTTCTCACAAAAGAAGGAGTACTGGACACCAACAGGAGGTGCCCTCAGCGTTCAATTTAGGGGTCTATGCTAGACCTGCTAAGTTGATCTCCAGAAGATCAACCTCTGGAGCATCAATCATCCAGTAAGTATAGACGGGAGACACTTTGCCACAGAATGAAAGGCTAGGAAAAATACACATCCCTCACCAAGTCAGCTGCTGATCACAGAATGAAGACAACAAAGGTCTCTTCAATCATGCGTTAACTGCATACGTAAAGGGGAGACTAAGCTGAGTTGCCAAAGTGCCTGCTAACAACTGAGATAGATTATACGCTCGTTTCTTGTCAGCTAGCACAGTTGTGTCGAGATTACTATAACATTAACACCTGGGCAGTAACCTGCATCTTCAGAATTCTCATCCTACCTAGGAAATAGCTCGTGTGATCTGGCTGAAGGGTGCTGCGAGAAACCATATGATGTTTGTGGAAGGTGGGGATCCCTTGGATGTACCCATAGAGTCTTTGGCTGTGACATCACCTATGTCTGAAGATGCAGTAAAAGGAGGTAACAATCTGCCTTTTCTATTTTTATTCTAATATAGGTGAGTGATATCAACATAGATTTGTCTGTCACAGCTTGTAGTGAAATAAGTTCACAGGAGGTAGCTCCTCTAGCATACAGGTACCAGAGTCAAATGCCAAAGAAGGGCAGAATATTATGGAAGGGGATTGACTCTCAATATAAAAATGGCAGAAAAATTCAGTATGGGGGGACATATTTTAGATGCGTCTCTGTAAATGTCAAGTGAAGGTTTACTTTAAAATGCTTATGAAATTCTCACATATATGCACCAACTGATCAAGTCATTTATAACTGACTTGGGACCCACATTCACTGGCTGTTGTAAAGTTAACTTGAGCCATATCTGTTTAGAGCAGGAAGAATCAGCAAAGTCCATCCTCCTGAGCCTGGAGTACATCCAGGCAGAGACCTCTGGGACTCCGGCAGTAAGGGAGCTGAAAATCGGGGCTATACGGACAGCTCAGTTTGTATCAAAGAAGGTAAACAAACTGAAAAATCCACTTATGTGCAACTCAGCTCAGGAATTGAGTCTGCGCTTGCAAAGAGATACCAGCTGCTCTCATCAAGAATTCAGTGCCGGCAAGAGATCCCATTTTAAAAGAGTTTTAGGATCGCCACTTAGCCTAGCACCATATTATAAAAGCATTAGTATTGTTTGAAAGGATAAAGGTTCATTTTGCAAGGGGAAATGAGGAATTAGCAGGAGGATATTAGACGAGGATAATGGAATTAGTTGAATACAGTTCTCCCTGAATTTTAAATACAGGCAGTCCCCGACTTATGTCAGTTCCGCACTTACGAACGGGGCTTTTCTCGCCCCGGAGCTCACGGGCGGCAGGTCGCCACCCGTGTCCTCCGGGGCGAGAAAAGCTTCTCCCGGTCTCCCTGGTCTGCTGGGGGGGGTCCAGCGGCTTTGCTGGACCCCCCCCCAGCAGACCAGGGAGACAGGAGCAAAGCCACACAGGCGGCGGGGTCCCTCCGCCTGTGCGGCTTTGCTCGGTCTCCCTGGTCTGCTGGGGGGGGTCCAGCGGCTTTGCTGGACCCCCCCCCAGCAGACCAGGGAGACAGGAGCAAAGCCACACAGGCGGCGGGGTCCCTCCGCCTGTGCGGCTTTGCTCGGTCTCCCTGGTCTGCTGGGGGGGAGGGGGCGCAGCTAGTGTGGCGGGACGCCTTGGATAGAGCAGCTGGGGGGCTGCCGGGGTGGTCCTGTGGGAACCTACCGGGCAGCGCCCCAGCTGTTCTGTCCCAGACTCCAGATTCAGCAGCTATTGAAACTGATCAGGCTGATTCCAGGAAGCTTGGGGCAGAGCAACTACTATAGGCAACTATTTATAAAAACAACCTTTTGAACTGCAGGATTCAGTGTTTGTTTCTTGAGTGATGAAACTGACTGTGGTCTCCACAAATGAGACTTCAAGAGAAAAAGTTAATTTCATGAAAAATCCCTAGATGCTCCCCTTTTGGCCAGAGTGTGTTTCATTAAAACCAAGCATATTAAATTCACTGCTTGTTTTCATGTCTCAGGAGCAAAAGCACAAGAGGTTTGGCAGGTAGGAGATGCAGTTCTGTAGGTTGGGTGATGTAGCCTGTAAGCACAGGTGTTTTGTACCCAGAAGCAGAGTTGGCTAACAGCGCATGTTCTATTTCACTAACTGTGCTTGTCATTGCTGCAGAACGTAGAGTTCAGTTTGGATAACCTACCACTCCTTCAGCAGAAGGGATTTACCATTGAGCCTGTTAAAGGAACGGTTGATCGTGGTCAAATAAAATCCATCAGTGTTTCCTGGGTGCCACCTGCTGACTTTGATGTATGTTAACATTTCCTGAGCGTTTGTTGTTGAAATGACTGCAGGGTACACAGCACATTCTCACTTGCTTTTAGCACCAGCTCAGAAGCAAGTCTTTCAGTCATCATCAGTGCAGCTCACTTTGGACAAGTTCTAACAATGGACCTGATAAACTTAGTGTCTGATTTGTATGAACATAGGACAAAGGGCATAGTCTAGTAGTTAGAGAGCAGACGCCAGGGACTGCCTCTGTACCACATCTCTGCACATCAGGGGTCAGGGAGAGGGGGACACACCGCAAAGCTGCTCCCATCAGAAAAGTGGATGGTAAGTTACTCAGAGGAGAAACTTACCCAGCAGCAGCCAGCATATATGCTCGTCTACACTGCACTGTAACTCAAAAAAAGGTATGCAATTTCAGCTACACAAATTGCATATCTTATTTTGATGCTATTTCAAAATAGCTTATTTTGTCATTTAGAACGGTCTACACAGCGCCAAATTTCTAAATAAAGCGCTATTCCAAAATATCCCTTACTCCTGGTAGAATGAGGTTTACAGGGGCGTCGGAATAGCGAGCCTGAAATAACGGGCTTGCTGTGAAGATGCGGGATAGCTATTTCAGGATACTCTGGTATCCGGAAATAGCGTTGCAGTGTAGATGTACCCTCTGTGTCACTGTCACACACACACAGTCTGTGCAACACTGTCTCTGTGCTACCCACAGTCACTGTCACACACACTGCCACACAATCTGTGTCACCAGGTCTGTCTCTCTCACGCAGAGAGTCTCTTTCACATTTTCTCTCTGTGCAGACCCCAACCCCACCCTTCCACCCAATACCCTGCCCCTTCTGCGAGGCCCAGAGCCAGCCCGTGACCATGTCCTGAAAGTCAGATTGCTTAGGGGAAGAGTCACTTGATAAGCTCTCTCTCTCTCTCTCTCACTGCATTTCAACACAGAAAAGGTTTTCCGTTGCCTCGATCATGTGAAATCACGGACAAATTTAAACACATGATGGTGCAACACCCAGGCTGTGGTAGCCCTGGATTCCTGTGTCTTTTATGGAATCATAAATATACAGGGCTAGAAAGGACATCAAGAGGCCAATTCCTCCATTCCCCCATGCTGCAGCAGGACCGAGTATAACTCTGCCATCGCTGACAGCTGTTTGTCCAACCCATTTTTAAAATCTTCCAGTGATTGGGACTGTAAAACCTCCCTAGATAGCTGTACTAGAGTGTTTAATTATCCTTAAAGTTGGCCATTTTTTCTGTAATATCCAACCTAAATCTCCCTTGCTGCAAACAAAGCTTGTTAATTTTTGTTAATTCTTGTGGTGCTCACTATTTATTTGCGTTTGTTCTGCTGCCCACTGTATGTAGCGGGGTTTGCCTTGGTTCCTTGTACAGGACCTAGGTGCATGTTCAAGAGACACTGTCCCTATAAGATGAGATTTTCCTCCAGGCCTCATCTTCATATGTTGCTTATTCCTTTTCTCAGTTTCCCCTCTCTCTGCAGCAAACGCTGTGGGATGTGACAGGATGACTGGCCTCTTCCAAAATTAGAAGGCAGCCGTCATTCTGTGCAGAAGGCACTCGAGGTCATGGTGAAAGGCCCTGAGATAGACCCAGGATTTCCTGGTAACCGAAGCTGGTTGTTACACAACTCAGAGATAAAGGATCTCCATTTCCTTCCCATACTCACAATACTGCACAACCACACCCAGCACATTGTCATGACTGAAACCTAATGGGGCTATGTCCCCCACTAGGGAAGGGCTATCACTGTTAGTCCCAGCTTTCATTAGGCTAACAGAGTTATTAAGAGAGATTCTTTATAACCATAACTGGCACATCTATTAATGTCAAGATATTAAAAAGCTTAATTTACAAAATCTGATGAGGCTTTTGGCTCTAGATGCCAGACAAAGAGGACTGCTCATACTTCCATATTCTTTCTTTGTAGCCAGATCACCCTTTGATGGTGGCAGCTATACTGACCTTAAAAGGAGACATTAAAGAATCTTACAAAGTGCTCTTCATAGCCAGAGTGGTGTCCACATGAACTCCCACTGAGTGAAGCTAAACCGGGTGAAGAATCACTGAGGCTTGCTCAAGCTGTTAATTCGTTATCAGATCTCAGAACGTAAGGAGCTCGTGCAAGAGACTGCGGAGATCATTTTCATTTGTACATGCAAATATGTAATTGCTGCAAAAACATTTCTGCTTTTGTGTGCACTCTAAGAGCAATAGCTTTCGTGCTGAATTTCTTCAAAGATTGGCTTTAAGGGGTGTAGAACAAGACATGGAGAGCACAGAAAAGATGGCTGATAATGTATTATCCTAGTTATGGGCCAACTCCTGAGAGATACCATGCATCTACTACTGCTCTGAACTCCAGTCTCAGCTCAGACCCAGAGTCTGAAAGGTATTAAGTATTGTTGTGCCTAAAGGATTTAGGAGCCTAAACTCATTTTCAAAAGGAATTTAGGCATGTCAGAGTCTAAATCCCATCCATTGTTAACATAGTATTGACTCCTAAGTAGCTATATCCCTTTAGGAAATGAGACTTGAGCCTGTCAATGCCTAAATACCTTTATAAAACTGGGCCTCAGGGCAGGGACTTTTTTCCTGTCAGCACGTGTAAGTTTATAAACATATTTTTCCAGTTGATCCAATTTTTTGTGGTAAATGGTTAAAATAAACATACAAAACCAGCAATAAACACACTGGACTTCTTCTTGTCTAAGAATGGAACTGAACCTTCCATAGATATCTCTTCTGCTCCTAGCCCAGTGGAAATCCATTCCCGTGGTACCGTTTCAACTATACAGTCAGAAAGAGAGGATGCTCTGCCAAGGAACGAGGCTGATCTGCATGAAGAAAGCAGCTCTGCTTCCATGGGGTGTAAGGCCAAAGTTGACAGGGAGGCAAGATGAGCATCCGTAAGCCAGGAGCCACGGAACCTCTCTTCACAGGTGACCCTGGACCTCCCCCCCAGACTCCAAAACACCAGGGTGAGGTGCTATCCACTGCCCCTCTCTCACAGTTTTGTGTCAGTTATCCCAAGTTTGTTTCACATTCACCATTTTGCTGCTGGTTTTCCTCTGTTACCAGCTGTATTACAGACCATCCATTAGCTTGCCCTTGGACTCAGTGGGGGTATGTCTACACTACCCCCCTAGTTCGAACTAGGGGGGGTAATGTAGTCATACGGAGTAGGAAATGAAGCCCAGGATTTGAATTTCCCGGGCTTCATTTGCATAAAGCCGGCCGGCACCATTTTTAAATGCCGGCTAGTTCGGACTGCTTGCCGCACGGCTACATGTGACACGAACTAGCTAGTTCGGATTAGGCTTCCTAATCCGAACTAGCTGTACACACGATTAGGAAGCCTAATCCAAACTAGTTAGTTCGTGCTGCGTGTAGCCGCGCGGCACGCAGTCTGAACTAGCCGGCATTTAAAAATGGTGCCGGCTGGCTTTATGCAAATGAAGCCCGGGAAATTCAAATCCTGGGCTTCATTTCCTACTCCGTATGACTACATTACCCCCCCTAGTTCGAACTAGGGGGGTAGTGTAGACATACCCTGGGGTAGAAAGCGCTATCCCTGGTATGTTCAGCACCACAGGTGGCATAAAGGAGACAAATCCGGAACAGAAAGAGGAAAGAGTCTCGTAACTAAAAATCTAACTACAGTCCTGGCCCTTTAAGATTTTTCCTGTCCTGCAGTAAGGAGTCTTATTTTCCTCTAAGTCAAGAGCTCAGTATTATGCAATGGAACACACGCTGCAGCCCAGGAGGTATTTTAAAGGGCTGGGATCATCTGTGTCTATAAGCACCACCATCCGTGTATTTGGAGGGATTTCCTCCTTCATGGCACAGCCTGTCCTCTTCCACTGCTTGTAGTGAGCATCAGGTGGATTGTACCAAGAGCTCTGATTATACAACACATAAAACATGGCATAAACACTTAGGCAGTGGTTTGCTAATTATAGAACTTCACTAAGTGGAGGTAGGCACCTGACAGTATCTTTTGGCCTCATTTTGATGAGCTGGCAACATGATCCCTTCCAGCTCAGAAAGGAAGGATCAAACCCAGGTACAAGGATGCTGATTCTGATGTTCAAAAGTTAGAAATCAACTAGCGCCTTATATTTACACACGGTACCCATGCAATATGCTTGTGTTGCATCAAGACGCTATTGTGCTATGCTGTGTTGGAGCACACTGGGCCATATTGACTACATGACTTGGATTTTGCCATTTAGCTGTCATTTAGGGCTGTTCTTGCCCATCACTTATTCAAGCTGCCAACTAATATATTCTCATCTAGACAGAAGAGCTTCCTTTTTATTGCTTCCCAACATAACTTGTTTCCTGAGTTTGGATTTCAGCACAAGTGAGGTGCAAGAACAAGTGGTACAGAGTGACCTAATAACAGGATTATTTTTAAAGAGATTAATGAACATTTCAGGTAACTTATGAGGAGCCAGGGGTCTGATTTACAAAGAGAGTAATTTCTAATATTTGAAATAGTAGTACGGCTATTAGGGAAGAGTTCATGCTTGGAGAGGACTTATCTATAGCATATTTCTGAAGCACAGGTCCCAAACTCTGTAATGAACTCCCACAGGAACAAAACACCATCACAAATCTCACCCCTTCCCACGCTAAAGGATAGGTGCATTTCTTTGACCTGTCTTCTCTGATACATAGGAATAGATGTATATATTTTCAAAAAATCCCAAACAAAACACTTCTCCCTCAAGGGGAGAGGATGAGAGGGCAAGCACGACAGATGTTTAAAGAACCAATGGAAGATGATCAGGTACTATGATAATAAGCCTGTGTAGGCTAGAATACTGGTCTTGCTCCTTTGCTGGTGAAGTTTCATTACCTTAGGGTAACCGAGGTGCTTGATACCAGCTGAGAAGCTGACCTAGTATTTCTAGATAGAGTTGAGAGATGTGTCCAAATGTGTTTTGTATGGAGGTGAGATAAAACTCTACCCTACTTCAGTCTCGCCTCTGAACATAGATGAGTATTTGGCTAATCCTGGATTTAACTCCCCAAAATAATTTTGCCAACATGATAAAGGGTGAGGAGGGGTGAGGAGATGAGTAATCTGAGAAGTGGCATTAAAAAAAATCTGTATAGCTTGTAGACTAATTCTAGCAAGAAGAAACCGTTTCTGCAGCTTCAACTGGATCTGCAGAGTTTTCACAGAGATGAACTTCCCATTTCAGGATTCCAAGTCTGACTTCATGTTAAAGACACAGAGTGTTGTGGAAACACAACCAGTGTGAACCCAAAACACAAATGTTCTCTGCTCTCCCCAAACATACACAGACCTGTCGACACAGGAACAGGGTGACTGATTAGGCTGCCCACGTTTCATGTGAGAGCAGGACACTCTGCTTCTCCAAGCAAGTGGTCCAGTCACACTGCTGGCTGCGTGGCCTCAGGTCTGGGCAGTGGGAGCTGTGTGCGCACTGGGTGCAAGCCAGCAGCAAGGGACACAGGGATATCTCTTTGTAAAGTAGATTTGATTTAATGATACTGCCAGGGTTGCCAACTTTCCATGGGCACAAAATTGAACACCCTTGCACCACCCCGCCCCACTCCTTCTCCAAGGTCCTGCCTCTTTTTTCCAGCTCCCCCCCGCCCAGTCATTCCACACACACCACCCCAGTCACGCTCTCCTGCCCCCTCACTCACTTTCATTAGGCCGGGACAGGTGATTGGGTGCAGGAGGGAGGGTTTCAGGGTGAGGAAAGGGGCTCCAGTCTGAGGGGGTGGAGCTGAGGAGTTCAGAATAGAGGAGGTGGTTCTGGGTGGGGGGAGGGAGTTGGCATGTGGGATGGGGTATGGACTCTGGACTGTGGGTGCAGGCTTGGGATGCGGCCAGAAATGAGTGTTTCAGGGTGCAGGCTCTGGGCTGGGGCAGGGGTTGGGATGCGGGGTTTGGACTGCAGGAAGGAGTTTGGGTACAGGAGGGGGCTCAGGACTGGGGCAGGGGTTGAGATGAGGGAGGGGTTCAGGGTGCTGTCTGAGGTAGAGGTTCTGAGCTGGGGAAAGGGGTTGGAGTCTGGGAGGAGGCACTGGCTCTGGGGTGGGGCAGAGGGTGGGGGTAGAATCTAGGCAGCACTAATCTTGGGGGGGCTCCCCAAATGTGGCAGCACTTACCTTGGGGGGGAGGGGCTACACAAATGTCTGTTAGCTCCTGCTGCCACCTGCAGGCACCAGCCCCACTGCTCCCATTGGCCAAAGGGAGCTGTGGGACTCAGCGCTTGTAGGTGAAGGGGATGCAGGGAAGTGATGACTACTGCTTCCCACAGCTCCCATTGGCTGGGAACAGAACTGTGGACACAGGGAGCTGCGGGGGTGGTTTCTGCAGATGGTCAACATCAGCAAAATGTCTCCCAGCCCACAATCAGATCACCCTGATAGACTGGGGAGCAGGGCCCCACGTTGCTCGGTGCTATGCACTCACACCTGGAATAAAGACAGCTGCCATCTCAGGCTGTGTCTAGACTGGCAAGTTTTTCCGCAAAAATCATCTGCTTTTGCAGAAAAACTTGTCAGCTGTCTACACTGGCCGCTTGAATTTCCGGAAAAGCACTGACGATCTCATGTAAAATCATCAGTGCTTTTCCGGAAAAACTATGCTGCTCCCGTTCGGGCAAAAGTCTTTTTCCAAAAAACTTTTGCGCAAAAGGGCCAGTGTAGACAGCATAGTACTGTTTTCCGCAAAAAAGCCCCGATCGTGAAAAAGGCGATCGGGGCTTTTTTGTGGAAAACCACGTCTAGATTGGCCACGGATGCTTTTCCGCAAAAAGTGCTTTTGGGGAAAAGTGTCCGTGCCAATCTAGACGCGCTTTTCCAAAAATGCTTTTAATGGAAAACTTTTCCGTTAAAAGCATTTTCGGAAATTCATGCCAGTGTAGACGTAGCCTCAGAGTTTACAATCTATGCCACAGGATTTGCATTTGCTAAGACGCTGTCGTCTATCACTGATCCTGTATCTGTGCTACCAGGAGTGCCGCTGACGTAGGGCATGTCTGTGCTATGGAAGAGGCTCTCCATCTATGTACATAACCACCTCCTCCAGACTGGGTTGATGGCAGAATTCATCAGGGATTAGGATAGATTTAGTGTGAGCTGATCCTGCTTTGAGCAGGGGGTTTGCCTAGGGGGCCTCCTGAGGTCTCTTCCAACCCTTGTCTCCTATGATTCTATGAACTATGTTGTTGTAAGCAGGGGAATGGTCCCGCTATTGTGGGGAACTTTCCTGGCTTCTATACCACCACGGTGAAATGGACCAACGAAAGGATCTGAGTCCCCGCTCCCACTTCCTTTACCCCACAGCCTCCCTGATCCTGAGGGCTCCCCTTCCACTCTCCTGAGTAGCAGAGTCCTGGAAACCCTAACAAGGCTGGGCCCAGGTTTCCTGGGGCTTAATCCCCGACCTTGTAGTCACTAGGGGCAGGAGTTAGGATGTCCCCACTCCGAGGTGCTCTCTTTACACTGCAGGCTTTCTTGGCCCAGTGATCATTTCATAAAGTTCAAAGCAAATACAATTTATTAAACATCAACTGATTAAAGAGAAAAGAATAAGAAAAAAAATGAGAATGGTTAAATGAGAACACACACTCCTGTTCTGCAGCATGGGGACATCAAAACAGCCGTCTGCAGAGTGTAAGGACAGTTCACAGTC